GACTACAAGGTTGTTTCTGTTCAAAATTTTCTAAGTTTTTGGGTACCCAAGAAACTACATACAGCAGCTTTAAGCTTTCAGAGTGTTGCTGAACTTAGAAGACTCAAGTAGGCAGACAAACCTTAATGGGTTTCTTCTGTGCTTTTGTCTTTTCACCATGTGATCAGCAGCTAACCTCCGGTTTATTGTCCTAATAGAGGGGGAATGTCCTTGCTTGTTGGTTAACTTCCTGTTTCATCTCTATAACGTCAAAGGGAACTGAACTTGCTGTCTGTTCTCTTTCATCTTATCTGCAGTTTAGTCAGTCCCACTACTTCTCTGAGATCTCTGGTGTTTACTGGGCCTTGCCTTTCAATCTACCGCTCGATGACTCCTTTTTGGTTGTTTTTTTAATCTTTGTTCCTTTCAATGTGTTCCTCTGTTAGGAGCCCTGCAGATGAGGAAGGTGTTCATGATTCATTCAACCAGCTGATTGCAGAGCAAAGCCAGAATGAAGAAATGTTTGATACTTTTGATCAAGGGCCGCTGGGAAGGAGGGAGCTGGATAAGGAGCATCAAGGTACTCCGTTTGCATGTGAACTGATATAGATATACTGTATGTGAAAGCCAAATAATTTGTCAATATTTCTACTTTAAAACGGGGTATAATCAGGTAATTTGGGGGTAAAATCAGAAGGAAGTGTTTTTTTTGTTTCAGTTTTATATTTACCATTAGTTAAATATCTGTCCACATTACTGGTGCCAATAACATTTACTTTACAATAGTGCTGGGCGGTATACCGGTTCATACTGAATACCATTTTTAATTTTTGTTATAATATGTATTTTCTGAATACCGACATACCGGTTTAAATAGCCTGAACATGTGCGGAACGTTTTGTTGTGGCCGCCAGTGAACTGTTTCCCGGGGGACACCTTTCCTCACAGCACCGCTATGTGCGTTAGCATGCTAGTTTTATTGTTGAGCAGCTTTTTGCAGCGGCGGGTGGCGATTCTGCAGATTATATTGACTGACGTTAAAAAACATCCCGTTTTCGCCATCGCTGAATGCAGTAAACACCTCTTCAGTGACGTGCACGGTTAGATTAAACACGCAACGTTAATATGGAGACGTGGAAACGCATGGAGACTTTAACGTGCTTCTATTGTGAAAAGCCTGGGGGAAGTAGTTTTGTAGTGGAGTTGAGTTGACTGGTGTGCAAGGTGAGTTGTCCTGTTAATCTTTATTAAATAACATAAAACAATAAACCCGATCATAATCTTTTCTTAACCCTCCTCCTTCACAACTGGACCAAAATGCGAGACTACTGTCTCCAACCACCAGTCAGAGAAAAGACACTTAGAGGTGGGAAACAGAGACACAGACAGAGGTACAGTAAAAGAAAAGTCAATAAGCAGGGTTTGTACATTTTATTATCAGCTGAGCTGTGATGAAAAGAAAAATACAGTGAAATGTTGAAAATACCGTGATGCAAAATTTTGGTCATACCGCCCAGCTCTACTTTGCAAGTCATTTTAGTGAGCAAAAGGCTAGCATGGCTGGGATGTTTTTTGCTGAGATTTACAGCACTGGACATATTTTAATTGTGCGCTGACTGTATGTGTGTCTGCTTGAACAGACTTTGTGTACACGTCGAGCCCTCCACATACATTTAGGGAACGGGAGCCGGATCGAGGCGAGTATGAACTGGAGGAATATGGAGAACAAACAGACCCACTCATTCCTGAACGCTGGTCTTCAGACACCTTGAAAATCCTTTCCTCCATGCCCAGCCGCACCATTGGTCAGTATTGATGCTTTTTAATTTAGATTAAGCTCTTGTTTTTAGGTTAGGATTGCACAATTTATCTCAAATTTGTTGTCATTTCAAAATCAATGAGTGTGATGTCAATATTGCAAAGAACTGCTTGGACCGCAGTAAATGATTTCATTATTTGTTTAAGTATTGTGCATTCATGTTCTGCAATTTTATTTATGTTTCGTCAGTTCAACAAACTAACTGGCCTTAATACCCACATCTGTTATTTATGATCATAATATTATTGTGCAATCCTAATCTAAAGCTTAGATCTTCTGATATCATTTGGCAGATACTTCCTCTGTGAAAATGAAAATAAGCTGCTCTGACATTGATGATTAAAATAAAAATTTCAGTTACTTTCTCATCTCAGCAGAAGCATACAAGCCAAATATCTGGAGGTCAAAAAGCTGATATTTATTAAGACTTAGTAGTTCCCTCAATGAGTAAAAGATCTTTAGCTCCTCTGGTAGTTGAAACAACTTTCACAATAAAAGCCCAAAGTGTACTGAATGTAGATTGTTCACATGTATAATTTTACCTCACTGCAACATGCACATTCAACCTGGCATTGGTAACTTTGCACTGCACATATTGAGCAAAAAAACAACAACAACAAAAAAACAACAACAACAAAAAAACTGAAGTGTTGAAATTATGAGGAAGCAGTTCATCTTCCTGTCCTGGGACACAACATGTTGGTGGTTTGCCGAATGTTTTTGTGTTCAAATCAAATGCGTATGTTGTGGTTTTGATTTATATTTCAGTGTTTTCCTTGCCTCAACTTATCACTTTCTTCCCTGTAATATCAGTGCTCTCTTACACATTGTTCACTGGTTGTCTTAGCATTTTCCATGGTAGTTGTAATTGTATTGCTGATGTAGGAAGAATCAGATAGCATGACGAATTTATCGTTTTGAGTGGACGTCCGGTGGGGTTGGGAGGTGCTTATTGGTGGGCCTGATAGATAGCCCTTTATCAGAGCTAAAAAATAATCATAATAATATGACGCTCCTATGTTGAATAGTTTTTGAGTTATGTGTTTTTGTATGTCCAGACACCCCCTTTTCAGATGGAGCCCCCTGCTCAAATTTGGGGTCTATCATAAAACCGTTGACTGGTGCAGCGTAGGTTGGACACATCTACGTTCCTAACAGATTTCATGCTGATTGGTGCAGCCGGTTCTGTGCTGTGGTTAAACAAAAATCTCTGGGGAAAAAAAAATCATCTGTATGAAAACAATATGACGCCTCACATGCGGGGGTCATAAGGGTGGATCAGTCAGTTAATGAGGTAGTGTTGCAGGTTGGTGTGAAGCGATGTTTTTAATTGTTGAACATTATTTTTTGTTTGTTTTTAGTTTCACTAGTGTTGGATGTTTTCTTATTTAGTGTTGGTGTTTGTTTATTGTCTGGAGGGGCTATATTAGCCTAAGATTAAATCTGGTTCAATGCATCAATATTTTTACCTTTTTATGTTTTAATTGCACACTGTCCTGATTTAAAGGGATCCATGATTAGTTGTAACATTAGACTTTATTTGATAAACATTTATTTTAGCTGTAAAATAAAGACTGTAAAAATACTGTAGGCTGTTTAGTTTTGTAAATTTTAAAACTATATTTTAACATGGACAGAGCCATTTTATTTACACACAAAGCATTCTGGGTAAATGATGACATCAACTAGGTCATCGGTGCGAGCCTGCTGGCGAGCTATATCCACCCTGAAGGTTAATCTTGGACAATATCTGATGATTGACTCTTTTAAATGAAACCAGAGAGCGTTGACAGAGAGGAGAAGGTAGAAATGACTCAGTCTGTAACTGAAAATATGGATGGAGGACAACAGAGCTGCTTCATGGAAGAAGAACCCCAGCTTAGCCTGTTAGACTTTGCGCTTGCGCCGACACTATATTGCCTTATATGTATTAGCTCAGTGCTATTCCAACAAACTAACTAATCTGAGGTCCTCCATCCATATTTTCAGTTCCAGGCTGAGTCATTTCTACCTTCTCCTCTCTGTCAACGCTCTCTGGTTTCATTTAAAAGAGTCGATCATCAGATATTGTCCAAGATTAACCTTCAGGGTGGATATAGCTCGCTAGCAGCCTCACACCGAGGACCTATCCATGTCATCATTTACCCAGAATGCTTTGCATGCAAATAAAATGGCCCCATGTATGTAATATATTTTTAAACTTTTAGTTTAAAAATGATAAAAACTAAACAGCCTACAGTATTTGTACAGTCTTTATTTTACAGTTAAAATATGTTTATCAAATAAAGTCTAATGTTACAACTAATCAGGGATCCCTTGAAATAAAATGAATAAATGTAAAAAAAATTATAATTTATATGTATGAAATAAGTTTAAAAACATTCAGATTCAGCCTCAGGATATATTTATTTAACAAGATGTTAAAAAGTTGCTTCCTACTGCAGTCTGTGGTTCTGATTTTCATCTCTAAAGCATTTGATCATTCCTCTGCCAGGCCGCAACAGAGGAGCCATTATTTCTCAGTACTGCAACAAGACCTTACAGCTTCGGAGACGCAGGCAGAGCAAACCAGCTGACCGAGTCTTCTCTCGCTCTTCGAGGCCGAGCATACGGGCCTATGACCTGGAAGCAGACACTACAGACTCAGAGAGCAGAGACTGTGAGCAGAACTGCTGAGAGACGACACAGCAGTAAAATCCAATCTTTTTTGATCAGTTCGAGGTATAAATGTCGTTGTTGGGTGTCTTTCAGTGACTAAGCAGGATCAGTTGGTGAACAACCTGCAGAACCTGTCTGCAAGTGACAGAGAGAGGATGCTCCGAGGGATGCCTCTGTGTTTGACTGTAAAAAAGAAGCTAAGGTAAAAGGCTGTTTTTATGCTCAGTGCTCCCAAATATAAATGGATGTTTCAATGCATCAATATTTAATAACAGGGCTTTTTATTGTTTGTTTCCACAGGGAGTTGGCATCGCAAAAAGAAAAACAAACACGCTCCAGCAGCAGGATTAACTGCTGCAGTCATTTTAAACTTTGCATTATCAAAGTAAGTCAATACCATCCATCCATTATCTATACCCGCTTCTTCTTTTAGGTGGCTCAGTTGGTAGAGCTGATCTCCCATGGCAAGAAGGTCACTGGTTCAAATCCCGGCCCGGGGACCTTTTTGGGCAGAGTTTGGATGTTTTCTCCGTGCATCTGTGGGTTCTCTCTGGATAATACCACCATCATAATGTTCATTAACCCATGATGGAGTTTCTAAATGTTGTTTTTAATCATCTTTTTACAAACTCTAAAACAGAAAATGTAAAAAAAAAATAGAAGTAGTTTGCCAAATCATTTTAAAACAAGGTCTGGATGCTGTTTTAATCATCCGATGAAGCAATGTTAGTGAACTTTTCTTTGTTCTGGTGTCAAGATTTTGAAAGACCAGTGTGCGACTGGTAGCTGAGATGAAAGGTTTGAGTTATTGATGATACATAAAACTTAAGGTTTTGATATAGAAAGAAATGAGAAGTTTATGACCAATCGGTGGTCAGTTGGTCAGTTTCAGGGCTGGATGTGAACCACTTCGCTCAAACCTCCTCCTCTGGCACAATCGTATGTCTGTTTACAGATCGGTAATACAGTTTGCAAACTTTGCAAACCTAAACTCAATAATAAGGCCCAGTGATTAAGCAGCACAATGGATCAGTGGTAAGCACTATTGCCTAACAGCAAGGTGGGCCATGGTTTAGGCTCCAGGTCAGTCCTGGGGTCTTTCTGTGGAGTTTCCATGTTCTCCTCATGTTTGGGTGGGTTTTCTCTGGGTACTCTTCTGTCCCCCCCACAGTCCAAAAAACATGCATGTTTCGGCTGCCTTCAGGCTCAGGCCTCCCTTGAATAAAAGATCTGTGATCTCAGTGTCTCGTGAAATAAATAGATAAAAATAAATAATGTAGTTCTTTTAGATACGTTTAGAAAATTAGTGGGAAATTATTCAAATTGAGGTTCAATCCAATTTGATCATAAAATAAAGCTAACCCTTTTTTCTGTTACATTTTGACCAAGTGTTACATAAAATATATATTTTTTCAAAGAGAAAATCTAAATAATTTTTCCATCATTAGTGCTTGTGAACAAGTCAGCGCAGCATAGTCTTCACCCAGGCTGCTGATGGCTATCTGTTTCCTGTAGGTGTTCTCATCAAGGCAGTGCAACTGCCCTGCAGCACAAACATGCATGACTTTACTTATAAAAGTACAAGCAAAAGCATTTTGTCCATAATTGTTTCGCTGATTATTTTTCTTGCTTTATTTTTTTTCCAGAGCTGGTACACCTGGTCATCCTTCATTCACTCCCGCCAAATGTGGAAAGTACCGCTCAAGAGAGTGAGCGGACGTTTTGGCACCGGAGTCCTCTCATACTTTTTGTTTCTCAAGACTCTTCTCTTTTTTAACGTCTTCCTCTTCCTGGTCATGGGTACATTCCTGGTGCTGCCTCAGGCAGTGTACCCACCAGAAGTGCCTGCAAACCGGAGGTCCTTCTCTGGGCTGGAGCTTTTAACTGGAGCGGTAAGCTGTTTGCTGATGTTATCACAGCCTGCTTTATCTTCAATGAGGCTTTAGTTTTAGAAAAAATACATTTTGAAGCCTCCAGTGGTTAACCCTTAGGTTTTTCAAGTAAAAGTACAATATTATGATGACAATAAACAGAACATTAATGTTGACTTCTGAGAAAATAAAACTAGTTTACCCTTTGTACAAGTGGTTCTTGTCTAAGGGTGTATTCACACCAGGAAAGTCCTTTGGTCCACTTGTTTGGTTCGGACCAAAAGCAGACTTGACTTTTTTCATTTGGTGCGGTTTGCATTCACATTTTGCTGTTTGCAAGTGGACTATAATTTATAAACAAAGCCACGCATGTGACGGGTCATTGTTACCATTGAACAGAAATGATGAGGGTCGGGACAGAGCATAGACCTGGACAGAAAAATGTAAGTTTGATCAAAGTTTTCCACTTAAAAGAGACAATGGGCCTCATGCCAGAACCGTTCGTACGCACAGATTTGTTCTTAAGTTGTGCGTACGAGTGATTTAGGAGAATTTGTGGCATTCACCAATGTTTTCGTATTCTGAGATTTTCTTCAGAACAAAATTCACGAGTGGTCCAGACCTGTCGTATATTTTACGAGCAGTCAGTCTGCTGTTATCCAGACGGGTTTTCTTCATTAATAACTTTATATTTCATTAGTTTGAAGATATTTCGAGTTGAAAATAAATCACACTCCATAATTATGTTAACTAGAGGCTATTCTGTTTTGAATTGGAATTATAATTTTAAATGTAATAATGTAGACTAACGACATACATTGGTTAAATTAAATTAAATTGGCTATTAATGCTGTTGTATAGCACTACAATATTAATATGAACTTAATTGAAGTTTTGAGACATTTTAAAATGCCTTTTTTCAGAAACGCATCCGACACTTGCGCCTTGGGGGGGGTGCGGTGCGCGACTGCCCCTCTGAATAAGTGAAAAATGTAACACAGTTGTTTACACTGAAATTAAAAATATTTGACCACAGAAAAACTGTAGCAGGACTACAGAGAGAGATAAATATTTAGATTTTTATTTCTGTGACTCTATACGACCCACGGGAGACACGACGTTAACAGCAGTCATTATTTCACTCCTCGGCATTAAAGCAGATCCTTTAATTCCACAGCTGACGCTGCTAAAAATTACTTGTTTTTTTGTGGATCTCAGAGAGCAGAACTTCAATCTCCGAACTCATAAAGTTCTTCTTTTTTACTTTGCGATGTCACTTATGAATGGACACTTCCTGGTATCTGGGACAGGAAACGTATATCCTTATATGGTGTTTTTAGGATGGTAATTATCCTCTCCTCGTGCACGAGCACCTGATATGCATTCATCAGTTTATGCACCTCATTTACACACTTTTCCTGAAGATATAGAAGAGTTTGTTGAATCTGACGTGACATGTTCGTACGAACCCTTTGTACGAACAAAAGTAAGAGAAATTTAGGATAAGAATACGAACATGTTCTTGCATCAGGCCCATTTTTCTGGAGACCACTTGAAACCCAGCTCCATTCATTTTTTCTTTAAACATGGAGAACACAAACACATTCTTGTGTCTTCTCTAGCAGATGAGTTATGTGAGCAAATGTCGAGGAGACAGGCTGTCTCTTTGTTGCTTCTGCTCTGTCTACGGCTCATTGTTCGTAGCACTAAAAAGACCGGGTCGAAGCCAGTCTGTATTCACACCAGAAGCGAACCGCACCAGAGTTTGTTTGGAAGCGGACCGAGACCACCTCAAAAAGTGGGTATAGATCCGGTTGTTTTGGTTCGCACCAGGGTTCACACGAGTGTATTCATACCAACATATGGACCAACGAGGGAAACGAACTGTGGTCCATTTAAAGCAGACCAAATGTGTCAGGTGCGAACACATCCTAGACACGTTAGCCCAGAAAGACCAAACCTGACACTGACTGGAAAACTGAACTTTTACTGTTTAGACTGTTATATTTACATGCTTGGCGTACAGTATTATGCAGTTCTCTTTTAGGCGGATTAAATTTACTCATAGTTTCTCTTAAAAATATTTGACTTTTTATTATGTCGAACAATATATTTGATGAAAAGGAAAACATTTCCACTGTGATGATTTGAAATCTCACGTGTACTTTAAAACCAAGTTTTGGTTGTACATCAGCTAAAGTAACATCAGCTGGCTTCTACTTATACAAAGTTATATTTGAAGCATTAAAACAAAATTTATCAAGTTTTTTTATGATTCAACTGTTTAGTTTATGAAAGTTTAACCTTTAAATATTTGTATATTAGTTATGAGCATACCTGCCTGTTTAGGTCTTTACAGTCTTTTAAAGTTTTGTTAGATTTCACACTGTTAGTGTTCCTTTTGTGTGTAATTTATTTTATCACAGTGCACGGAAGAACTAAAAACTGATGTCTTTCTTACCTGTTTTTGTCTCAGGGTTATTTCTCTGACACAGTGATGTACTATGGATACTACTGTAACTACACCCTGCATAGAAACTACAACAGTTCTACCCAGGCATGGAGTACGGTGAAGTTGCCTTCATACAATATGCCTCTTGCGTACTTCTTCACAATAGGAATGGCCTTTTTCATTACATGCATCATTCTAGTGTACAGGTATTATGGATTTCTGTCTTTTTTTTGGTTTGTGGTTAGAAATGATCTTTTAAATATAAACAATAATTTAAACCAGTATGCTAAGTGTTAAATAAAATCTCATATTTAATCTCCCAACAGCATGTCGAAGTCCTTCGGTCAGAGCTTCAGAATTGACAAGTCTTACAGTATTTTGGCCATAAAGACTTTCTGCTCTTGGGACTTCAGGGTCATCAAGAAAAACTCAATCAAGCTTCTGTCTGAAAACATCTGCACACAGCTCAAGGTCATAAAAACTCCTCTTCACACACATCCTTCCTTTCTCTTTGTTTTCTTCTGTCAAGCAGGTGGGGGTCTCTGTAGTACATGGGGGAGTGGTTATGTGGGCGGAGTTTGTTCTAACCGTGATTGGCGGAGTTTGGACTATAGGTGGAGGTTTTTGGGTGGGCGAAATTTTGATTGGTCAGATTGACTTATCTTGCAGGGCAAGTTAAAAGATGAATAGTAATAGTAATAGCAATAGTAAATTATTGTGAGCATGTATATATAACTTACTGACTTCAAATTTGGTGCGACTAGCAACTTCCTGTCTAAATTTATGACTAATATTAAAGGGGCAATATCATGTAAAATCAACTTTTTTAGCTTTATATCATGTTATAAAGTTATCTTCTCATCAAAAACATGCTCAAGAGTCTTGCTTTGACTCATTCATGCATGTTTGAGAAATCCTGTAGTGTCCTGAGGCAGCCAGGCAAGAGAGCAAAAATGTCCAGTTGGGACTAGAACCGCCTTTTGAGATCAGCTCCTCCTCTGGGCTGTGTCTCCAAGCTGAGCTTCCTCATCACAGAACACACACACACACACACACACACACACAC